AAACTTGGCCTGGTCTGTCTTATAGAAATCTGAGAGTTTCCCAGAGACATCATACAGAGACCTCACCTCTCCTCTGTGTCTCTAACCCATTACCAGGTCACACACATTCCTGTTTTATGAAAGGCAACGTGTCTGTTGTCACCGAGTTGAGGGAGGTTCAAAGACAAGGACGGCAAAGAAAAGGACACTAAGTGAGAATTTTCACTTGAGTCCTTACATGAAAGCGCTGCTCGCTCAAAGTCAAGGCTTTGGGAGGCCGGGCGTGTTGTCAGAGGACTTTGATGACAAGTGACGGAGTGAATGAGAAGCAAAGAAGAAAGAGAAGAAGAGACGGACCAGGGGAGGAAGAGGGGGGTCACTAAGAAGAGAGGAAAGTAGAGCCGGGGTCTAGGTAATTAACGGCAAGCGCTTTAATTACTGCTGGTGTTCATTGTGCCAGAAGGAATGTGACAATTATGCCATTAAAACTTCCTAATGGAGGGGAAAAAAGTGAGGGAGGGAATAACAGAAGACATGCAAAGAAAAGGGAGGATGAAAGGAGGGAGGCAACAGAAGTAAGAGAGGAGGGATATGAAAGGGGGGGTGAGAGGGGAAACAATCGCGACAAAAGAGAAGCTGGGAGGGAGATGGGGAGCGTATTAGGCCAGCACAGTGACAGAGCAGATTAGCATCAAACAAGAAAGGCCACAGACGTGTGTGAATGTGTATGTGTGTATGTTTGCGATCACAGAAACAGAGGACATATTCATTCCAAAGACGCCACCAAGGTGGATGGAACTTTGATGGTGCAGAGTCTGGCAAAGGGAAAACTCAGTGTGTGTGTGAGAGTGTGTGTGTGTTTGCTTGCTGAATCTGCGTAGGCTCCTGTTTCAAGTGGTGGTGCAGGCAGGTAGGGGAGGAAGAAGAGCAGCAGGAGGAGGAGGAGGAGGAGGAGGAGAAAGGGGAGAGATCCACGGAAAAGGGCCTCGGAGGCATCCTGATACACATGCAGTACGTTTCCATCTCCACATTACCTCTATGACTCACACACACACACACACACAAGACAGGAGAAACATAACGAGTGTGTCCGCGCACATATGTAGCACACGTAAACACACACATCCCCACACAAACATCAAAACAACACACACACACACAACCCACGCACTCGCAAACACACTCATAAACAACACCCACTCACACACACTAAAAGGCCACACAAACACTTACACAAAGAGTCTTAGCGCTCACCAAGGCGGTCGGTTCATCAGGGGGGTCAGAAATTTGCATGGCTGGGCAAGTTTTCCTTGTGCTAAACTCTAATCAGCTCCTGTATCTCTCAGACACCTGCCCAGCGTGCAAAAAAAATAAAAAAACCTTAATATGCAAAACACCTTCCCACCCTCCTCCACTGAGGCAGCTCCTCGGCCAACAGAAGACTTATTCACCTGGCCTCGCTAACTCTTTCCCACCCTGCCTGTCTTCTTGCAAATTTTTACATTTATGTATGCAAATCAGTTGTTCCCCTTAATCCTGTTTCAACAGTAACTTCCTGGTGCCCGGCGAAGAATGACAGACTTGTTCGAAGGTATCGCAGGAAAATTAGTGAAGGGAAACAAGATGTCTCCTCTGTTTGAGCGGACATGTTGCAAACACTCCTACTACAGGCGGACACTGCAACAGTCTCTACGAATAGTTAAATCGCTATATTTATTTTACGTACAATGCAACCATTTGCTCCTCTAGCATCAAAGCTTTCCTACTTAATTTGACATTTCCATGCTCCTCAAGTTTAGATAGTTACAGTCTCTGAGGGAGAAAATTATGTGCAAAAAGCTTGTAAAAAATGTAATGTTGCCATAGGCTTTCCTTTTGTATTAAATAAATAGGAAAAAATATAGTCTAATCAAAGTCTTCTTACATGTTTTAAAACTGACTATTAATTGTTTGGATTAACCATAAAGATGCACTAAGCAGTTTGATGTTAACAGGTTGTTCTCTTAAAAGAGTAGCAACATCCAGGTGAATTAGACTAATAAGTAAGCATTAGATAATTAAAAAAACAAAATATTAATTGTATATTTCCCAATGAGTGTAGAATAATACTACTTTAGTAAAAGATCTTTCTTGACATGCTTTACAAGTTTTCCTCAGGTTAATACATGTAGAGACAGATTTCTGACATTGAGTGTGTCTTGGAAAGAATCAATAATTTCATGTTAATATCAAACTATTTTTACAGCCAAACAGCAAGAACGAGACAACATCACTAAAAATTTTTATAAAATGTATTTAACTAATTTTATTTCTGTGTTGCTGTAAAACTGTCAGAATTAATTGAAACTCAATACTACAAACCATGGACATTACTGCACATGGGAAAACGTGCCTTCTATGATCCAATCCAACTCTACCCTAACTAAAGATTATTAAGACCAGGCTTAGCTAGTTGTTTTGATCACACCAACCACTTTTTAGATGCATAAAGACATTAATTAACATTTTTTTTTTCTTTTTTTTTTCTTTTAGGCCATGAGTTTATCCTATGTAGATGTAAAACAAACTGTCAAAAACTGACCAAAAATGAGCCAAATCAGTGATGTCATACCAGAGCCAAGTTGCTATGATGACAGTCTATGACAGTATTATTGTTTGATAACAGTCAAAATAAAACGATAGCCTAATTTGCTGTGGGTTTAATTCATTTTCTCATCACTCATACTGATTTCTGCTCTTATTAGGGTCTGGCTAGATAGAAGAAATCTTGCTTCACCCTGATGTGCTTTCAGTTGATTGAGACCTCATATATACAAGTGCTTCTGCCTGGCAGAGTCTTTCAAAGGCTCCCTTAAGAGGTTTGAAGATGGATGTGAGGGAGATGGTGTGTGTGTGTTTGGGTGAACACAGAGCAACCCCAGTGGACAAATAATGATGGAGAGAGACAGAAGGAAACACAGGAAAAGAAAGTGAAGCCCTTTAAATGTGAGAGCTTGCAAAACTCCCACTGCTCACAAGGGCACTTCGCTCCTGCACGTCATCTCTTTTCCCTCTTCTCTCCTTCCATCCCCTCCGTCGGTTTCCCCCCTTTCCCCTTCTCCCTTCATCGGTCTCTCTTTTGTCTCTGAGCTCTCACCCTCCGTCCCCTATCTATCCATCTCCCTTGTCCCACTCTCCCCCTCTTTCTCTCCCCTTCCTTTAGCTAAAACAGTAGGACGCTTAACCTTGATAACAGTGAGATCCCCCCACCCCACACACACACACCAGAGAAGTGCTTTGCCAGCATGCCAGGCCGGTCCAAGGGACGGCTGTACCCTTCGAGGTGAACAGGACACCGGGAAATGCAGCAACAACAAAACACACACACACACACACCTCCACAAAAGCAGCTCACTCCAGGTCTTTCTTAACACAAGCCCTTTAAAGCTCTTTTGTCAGCTGACATTGAGAGGAACACTGTCCATCTTTAACCATTTCACGCACACACGCAATCACAAAGAGACGACGGTGAAAGGAGAAGTGTGGAAAAAACAGAACATAGTAAAGGGGAAGCTACCTGCTGGGAATTTACGACAATGAACCTAAATCCGTCGACCGTCACACTAATGCTTGTAGGCAAATGAGGATAGGGAAGTAAAGTGTAGTTTTTCTAAATATTTAAACACCCCCAAACAGAGGTGTAGTGTACGTTTATAACTGTCGAGAGGAAACTGCTGTAGAGGAAAAGGTGAAATAAGCAAGGTGTTGGCGGGCTTCTTCCTCATCAGAAGAAACTTCCTAAAACCTGTTTTAACTAGACACAGCCAAGTCGGAATTTTGTTAGTTGGATTATTTAAAGCTGAGGTGTATAAACATTAGTTTATTTTTCTATTAAATAAAGGGTATCAGTAACTTCCAAAAGTATTTATAGAGTTTGAACCACACATTTCAGTATATTTGGGCTTGTATGATATAAACATAAGGAATATTTAGGCAAGGGAGGAAAAAATTATGCAAAAACAATGAAAGTCAGGTGTTTGTATGTGCAAATATGTAAATGGTGACTTTTTTTTGTCCATGATCCTTTCCAAGGTAGCTCAAGTCCAGTCAGCTTCCCCGCACTATGATGCTATCAAACCCATGATTCACAATAGGAACAGTGTATTGGGGATGTTCAGCGTTACTCATTTGCTACAGCTATTGACATGCATGCAGGTCAAAAATGTCTATCCAGAGCTCCTGGGACCAAGGCAATTTTTCCCACAATTTATCTGTCATGCTTGTTGCAAATAACATATGGGACTTAGCCTTGGATGACTTTCCTTTGACTACGACTCCTTTCTTGTCGCTTTTCCATAAGGGTCAGATTTTTAGGGTGCGTAAGTAATATTTGATCAGTAAAAAGATGATTTAATGCGTGCTTTGGAAATGTGACTCACATCTAAAGTCGCCAAGAGCATTGTGATTTCATGTCTGAATTAGGTTCATATTGCCCAACAAGTAAATTTAGGCATGATACGCTTATGATTAAAGATTATTTTACAAACACAACTGCTTCAAAGTTCTTCACAATTTGATCTCCTAATATTTTGTGTTAATTGGTCTTCATCATGCTGTTTGTCCTTAAACGCCCTCTAAAAAACCCTGAAGTCTTTATAGATGGGATTGATACTGAGGTTAGACAACACATGGTTTCCATTTATATGGTGAGTTCTTAAAGCAGTTAAGTGAAATCTATGTTTTTTTTCAGGGCACCTGAGTAAATGAGATATTGCACACAAACCAATAAGTATTTATTTACAGTTATGTACCACTTTGTGTTTTTGTGTCAGTTAAGGGTATGAATAATTTTGCAAACAGTGAATCAGATACTACTCACATAAATAACAGGAAGAGAGTCAGAGAGGACACAGCGAGAATATATCAGGATACACATCGTATTCGGTATCCGGTAAAGTTTCAGTTTTCCTTCTAAGCTCCTTTTATTACAGAGCCTTTAGCTCCAGCCTACGTCTCTGAGAGATACTCGCTGAAAGATTTACCTCAAAGTCGTTAGCCTTGTTGTAGTGCATGTTTAGGGCTCGGAAGAGCTCGCAGTCTCGGCTGACGCTCAGCTCCTCGGCTCCAGTGACACCATCGTTGATGGCCTGCCGGGCAAATTTCTCCATCTGGATGTAGTAGAACTCCCTGAAGTTGCTAAACCATTTGATCAGCTGGGAGGTGATGCAGCGGTTAAACTGGAACAAAAGATGGAGGAAGAATGGAGGGGTCAGCAGAAGACAAGCCCAATGTTTCAACATGCTTCATACACACAGCTGTTTGATTGGAGTTTCAATGAATCCTGCTTAATGTCAGGTGTGCCGAGGCGTGAGGTAAGGTGGGAGGAAGCTGGGAAAGATAAAAGACGAGCGGAAGAGAGAACACAGGTTGCAGAGAGAGGGACGATGATAGAGATATTAAGTAAGACAGCAAAGCGAGGAGGTTGGTGAGGGAAGAAAAGAAGAAACGGCAGAGAGAGAGCTTGTGTGTGGTTCGTCTTCCCCGCTGGGAGCAGACCTCCCCCCTATCATAACCCTGTGAGAGGAGGGAGAGGTGGAAGAGAGGGGGTGAGACCGCAAACACATAATTGACCAGAAAAACGATTAAGTCATCATCTGAAGCGCCCTGGCCCGCAGGGGGGCTCAAACATGTACTTAACCCCGCTCACCAATTACACTCTGATCCTCCGCCCCTCTCTGCACCTCCCGCACAGGAAGAAGAATAAGAGAAAAAAAGAGCAAAAATAAGAAGACAGAGGCGATAAGCATGAGATAGTGTGGAGGCAGTGGCTATCTGATCTGTGCCGCCAGGATGAATTCAATAGGGTGAGGTAGATCTATTAAGAGTTTCAGGTTTTCTTCCTCCTCACCTCACAGGAGAAACTAGCTAAACATCTAATAATGATATACTTTATAATAGATAATATCATCCATCTGTGCAGCAAGAAAAATGGGAGATGGGAGCTAATAAATGCCGAGCATACTGCTCGCTGGGGAGTCAGAGTGGTTTTGACATGGAGATTAGACCCGGGCTATTGTTCGACAACACAGACATACACAGTTGTCATGATCTGGGACGGCAGTGCAACTCATCCAAACTCATTTAGAAGTAGGAAAAGTTGGTAAATAGAGCAAATGTTGAAAAAAAAAAAGGCTTTTCAAGAATGATCTGTGGATGACATAATAGTGGTCTGGAAAAGAATAAGTCTGCTTGTTTGGCAGGAGAGGGTGGGTGTGCAGGATGGTAGCTGTCCTAAAGTGCAGGGTGAGCATAAATTGGGAAAAGAGAGGACGGGGGTGGGATGGGTGCAGGTCAGCGCCGTTGAACAATGGTGGTAACGACGGTGGTGTTTGCAGGTGGTGAGGGGGTCGGAACGTGAGCAGTCAGCAAGCCAGGGTCATGACATCTGAGCATCAAACAAACAAACCACTGACACTTACAAATACTTTAGCAGTCTGAGTTATTCTTAAACACACAGCTGAAAAACTGGCAGACAGTCGGAGTGGGACACAGCGTATAGAGACGCTACAAAACCTTCTGTGTTCTTGTGTGTAACATTGGCCCTTGCTGCATTTGAATACATATTCATACATGTGTGCTTACATGCTTCTGGGCACATGCAGGTCTGGGCAATGTAGTGAGATGACAGCTAGGGAAAGTTCCCATCGCTCATGTGCCTGACCTTTGGTGTCACTGCAGCAGAGTGACTGAATGCATTTTTCACTTTAGACAAAAATTACTTTATTATGCTGGCAGGTTTAGAGAAGATGTATGGCTGCCTGTGCAGCTGTTAGTGCTGGTAAATACACTAAATTGCACTGCAGACACACTAACTGCCCTCCTCACACTCAGAGATTTAATTTGGTAGGTTTCTGTTACTGCTGTTTTTGGTTCATTAAGTTCCTGTTCGGGGCACAGAGACCCCCACCGATACCAGCTAAAGACCGGTGTGTTTGCTGTAAAAGGAGGGAATCTTTTCAAAGGAGCACATCACTGCAGCTCCTTAATCAGAGCTGGCAGGGGTCAGCCAGCACAGACATGAGACACAGAGAGGAAAGTGTGTGTTTGATCTGATACACTGTGCTTAAGCATACAAGTGTGTGTGTGTGTGGCCATGAGAGAGAGCAGGAGAGACAGTGAAATTGTGTTTCTCACACTCACACTCAAGAGCCTGTGAAAGGTCAGCACTTAGTGCTAACAGCATAAGATAGAAAATGGCATGCACACACACTCACATGCATATGTTCTGCTGATTCTTAAGTCTAAAATAGATAAATAAAAGAGATATTTTCTGTCTAAGCTATAGTCGCCTGCAGAAAGTGCTCAGGTGTATTCTCCTCTCATTATTAGGTTTGGTCAAATTTGTACGCTGTTGTTCTTTTTTGCAGTGAGTTTTGGCTGAAAGGCGTTTGGATAAAAAGCAAACGCTTTCTCAACAGTGGATCAGAAAACATACAGATGACCTCAGAGCGCTCAGCTGCATCCAGAAAGACCAGGGAGGAGGATAGAAAGACACAGAAGCCTGCATGGGCCTCCCTCTCTGTCTCTTTCTCTCACTCACCCTCTGTCATATAAGCCCCCTCACAGTCATCAGGGCTTTCCAACATTTCCTGTTTTCGCAGGAGTGAATTGTGGGAGATAATCTGGGGCTGTCTATTGGCTGACTGCACACAAAAAGCGGCCCTGGAAAGCGGGCTTTTGTTACTGCTGCTGCTGTGACTCAAAATCAAGCCGCTGGCTTTTCTTTCCAGCCACCGGCCCCGCCGAGGCGCACATACCGTGCCATACCATCAGCAAAAAAAAAAGAAAAGGGAAGGAATGACAGACAGAAATGCAAACCCCCCCCTGATGTTTGCAGCACTACAGCACATGACTGGCCCAAACACAGAGGCTGGTTGGTAAAAGCAGCAGAATAAAAGTACGCAAACTGATTGGCCAATTTTGCCTCAATTAACTGTGATATCGTAATCAGCAAATAAACACTGAAATATTAAATTGAGGTATTCCTGTTGATAAAAGCCGCCAAATGGAATACAATATCCAATAGATGAACTCTGATTGATAATTATTAGATTGAATACTGAAATCAGCTCAGTCATTTATACTGTATCATATCGTATTCATTCATTATCTTCCAAACCTTTCAGCTTTTTTATCAAAAAACATTTTTTCATTGCCATATGATATATACTCCTTATAAAATAAAGATCAACATAACATATATAAAGCAGGTTGTTTATTGTTTGTTCTGTAGAAACATGTCAAAGCAACCAACCTCAGACGAATCATTAAATTGACTAAATTATTTTAATCTGCTTCTTGATCTGTTGACCTCTTCTCAAAACCTTATCTCCTATAACAAAGAGATGTCTTAAAGCCACTTGGATCATATAAGCTGTCATTAGTGACACCAATAAGGGTATTAAGTAAAATCTGTCAAAACATTTCAGAAACCCTCAGAAAAAAAATGTCTTAAAAGAAGCTTAATAAAGATGAACAACAGGCTCCAGTGCCTCACAGGTCCAGACCTGATTAGTGAAGAGCAGATTAACCTTAAAAGACTTTTGTTTGACGACAAGCTCTCGCTGAGAGGCTGTTTGGGCTGAATCTAATTAGACAGCCCCATTCCCATACACTTATTTAAAGTCTGAATCCATTGTCATTTACAGAGAACAAAAACAAACTAATGTGGCACCTAATCCCTTAAATATCTTGACCTTAATTAGATTTCTATTCACGATGAGGAGACCTTCATGGGAATGCCTAATCCTTGTTCTTATTATGAAAATTTCTAACATAAGTTTTAGGATATTATATTGATAATTAAGAGAGAAAGCATCAGCGTCAAGACTTGCTGTCCAAAAAAATTCTCTGACAAGACTATGAGCTCACAGTCGTGGCTTTTAGTGAAGGCATACATGCGAAGGGCAGCTGGTAGGAAAGAACGCCTTTATATTCAGATTTGAATAAGATGGCCTGGATCTGTCACAGTGTTTACTCACGATCAAGGTCCAAAAGAGGCAGGGACACAAACACAAACAGAATCAACAGCATAAACTCGTCATCACCCATGATACAACAGCTATTGTGTTGTTTTTCTTGTTTTCCTCTTCAGCTCACATAAAGTGCTTTGTTTTTCAAATTTTCCATCATTAAACTCCCAGCAGGACTTATGTGCATCCTTGCCATGGCCCTAAACCAGCTCTTTCCCCTACACCCCTCCCTTTTTTGTCTTTTTATCAAACCCTCCTGGATACACCTGCTCTGAGAGCCACTATCTACGCCCTCCGACCTCCTCTCAGCCCTCTCTGTTCCTCCATTACTCATCCTTCTCGTCACCTTTGGAGAACTCAGTGGCTCTCCAGCTCCACTGTGCAGACCTATTCAACTTCCTCTTCTTTAGTCTTTTGCATAAACCCACAAGGTAGAGAAAAAGCATATCGTTTCAAGACACAAGTATACATTGTTCGTTGTAACTGAGGCGGGCACATCACCTTTTATAAAACCAACTTCCCTTTTTTGGTCAGGTGCAAAGAGATACTATGAGGAGGAAATTAAGCAAAAGACGGAGCAACAGCTATGACAGAAGTTAAAAATGCTTGTTTTTTCCAAACATTGTGCTTGAAACATCTCCCTACTCCTTAACATTTGTACCCTTACTTTCATGCTACTGTCGCAAACCTTAATGACTTTTTAGGGACTAAGCCACCTAAGAAAACACTGTAGCAATGAACTGGCTTCTGAAATCATTTGATATCTCACTGTTCACTTCATCTCAATAGAAAGAGTACGGCACAACTGGCACAATCCTATCAACACATGATCAAGAACCTTAACTGACCTGAGAGCTTTAAATCAAAGTAGCAGCCAAAGCACAAGAGCTAATAGTTGTTACGGTCAAGAGGACAATAAGAAAGACCACAAGCAAGTAGAGCAGAGAACGACTATTTAAAATAAGCTGTTCTGGTTAGATGAGAAAAAAATGAATGCGTGGCTAGTTAATTGATTTGATTATATCAAACAATAATCATGCATTAGAATGATCCAGTCAAAGTCCAGACCTAAACTGATAAAGAACCGGTAAAGAGATGTGTCCATTTTGACTGAGAAAAATGGCAAAATGTGTTTTAGGTCTATCGCATAAAAAAATCCAACATACATGCTAAAGATTGTCTAAAAAATATTTTTGCAATGCAATACTTTTGCAATGCACTGCTTACAAACCTAAATGGGAAAACGTTATAACAAATAGGTATGAGAACACAAGAAAAGAAGAGCCATTGAAGACTTACCTTAACATCAGAGAAAAACATCTTTAGCATGTTAGAGCTTGGGTAGCGGGTGTAGAAAAACATTAGCTTGGCCTTCTTGAGATGATTAGGGGAAAGGCCCTCCTGGATCTGGAAAGAGCTGCTGTTAAGGAGATTAACAATTTTGTGAAGGCCCAAAACTTCAACTTCAAGATCAAGCAAACATGGGTACATTGCACATACTGTTTTAAATCACTAATGACTCAGAATAAGTTTGAATTGTGCATTTGAATGAAGTATAACCACATATTCTCAGAAGCTTGAACCAGGGCTGGATGTGGCGAGCTGAAGACAGAGCACTGAAGCAAAACCATTTGCTTGAAATTAGCATCAGCCATTTCAGGTGTGAGAGCGTCACGGTAAATAAAGCAGTACAGCACTTGCTTTTACATAAGGAGACTCATTTCACTGTCAAAGCAAGCAAACACCTTTGCCTAAACCCTGCACTAACCTCCTCCAAAAAAAGGAGGAAGAAAAAAGGGAGAAATTTGCATATCACAGACAAAGACAGCAGTTAACGCCAGTGGCGGGCAAGAAGGCCTAATGGCTTGGCGATAACACATGCCAAGCCTGAATATGACTGTCTGCTGCTGGCCACTTCAGTGACAAAATAAGGTCTAGGAGATCCCAAATGCCATTCCGGGCAACATGAAAAACCTTCTCACACTTACATATTCAAATATATGTCAGAAGACTGTGTCTTCCTAATGGATCCCCTGGACTGAACAGTAAAAAGGATGGAGATAGGCTGTTAGGGGCACCTTGAGGGATAGCATGATTCCAGCCTTCAATTACCTCCCCCCTCCTCCTCCCTCTGCTCCACCCCTAGCCCCCCAAGCCTCTCAGCCGCTGCCAAAGCCTTGGAGGAGCAAAAGAAAAGGAGGAGGAGAAGAAGAAGAGAGGCACTGTGGCTTTGGACTCGGTCAGTGATGGGAAGAGTGGAACACATCTGCGCCTCTAAATAGACCAAGCCATTTCCATGGCGAATTAAGGGCTGTATAATACATCTGATAATTCTAATCTGGAGGATAAGACTATGAAAAGGGAAGGGGTATGGCTGGGCACATGTTAAAAACCGGTTCAATATCAAGGTTATTGATGACTTGAAGCAAGTTAGAATGAGCCACACTAAGTTTTTATAGACTTTTTACACTTGAGTGGCTTTCTGATGTACAGATTGGGCTGTCACCATTAAAGTCAGTCAAGTGTCCAGATGTATCTGTGGCTAAAGAGAGGGAAGAAGGCATCAGCTGCTAGATTGGATTGCCCTTGGCCTTTGGGCTACAGAGCAGAGCCAGCAAATTCTAAATCATGCTGGGCTCTGGCTCCTTAAAGACCCCGTCTACTTTGTCTGATTCAAGAGAGAGGGGGACAGAAAGTAGCAAGGGTCTTGTGGGGGAAACCCTGGCAGGCTGGTGTTACTCAGTCAGGTCTGGCCAAAAGACGAGCACTTCACTTTCCAAACTACACCATCTGCTTCAAGCCGAGAGGATACAATGGATTCTTAGATAGGGGAATAAAGAAGGAAAAAAAGGAAAGCAAGAGAAAAAGAGCATTATCTTTAAGGGTAGGTGTGCTTATACTTAAGCTAATTTGTTTATGTTTTTCAATTAGGATAAGAAACACTTCCCCATATTGGGTACTGATATTTCACTTCCTCAGCCTTCAGCTGAATATCATCTCTCTTCAACTACCAATTAAAAAGCCTCATACTTCCTGATTAGACATTTTCATTCCCAATTCACTCACAGCTTGCAAATGTAATTGTGATTGGACTTCGGGGTGGTGTGCAAGGCCATTATTTTGTCATGATGGTGCGCTCACACCAGCTGGCCTACTGTTCGCTTGCCACATCTGACAAGATATCATCATTCTCACATCACTTCCCCAAAGCCCAAAGTCATGAGAAGGGAAAATACGTGCCACACTTCCTAATTCCAGGTATAAGGACAAGAAAATTTGGATTCGGACTCAGAACAAATGTGATAAAAGATAACAACCATCTGCTCCAAAATGCCGGTGAACTTGAAACGCACCTCACTAAATGTCTGACAAGCTGTCTCTGACATCCGATGTATATATGTGTATATTTATAAACGACATCTCTAAAAAAACACTAAACTTTTCAGTGAAATATTAATTATGAGAGCCAAAAATAAAACCAATAAAACTGTTGACATGTTGTTTTCTCTGTTTATTCCACTATGAACTACATCTGTTACTACCCTGAATTTATAAGTGCTACAATGAAAGCCACAGCATCTGGTATATGCGGTTATTGTTTGATTATTTTCTACTTTCTCTCAGTCAATGCATGCCTCTCTTCCTTATTTTCCTTTTCATCCCTCCATCGGGAGCCTGTAGAAGCAAAGGATTATGGATCTCTGGAAAGCGTTCACCCTTGGGTCAGAAGACAAGACAAGGCGAGGTAATGAAAGATAAACAGCTCGCTGCAAACACCTGTTAACGTCCGCTTCAAAGAAAAGACGGAGAGGAGGGAGGTTTTTTTTTTGTTTTTTTGCGGGGACTGAAAACAAAAAAAGAAGTATTTGGCTGCCAAGCAACAGCTAAAGGCCCCCCCGGGCTGTTGACAGATCTTTATGAAATGAAAAAAAGAGAAAAGAAACGACAATGATTGTGGGCTTTTTACAACAGCGATGGATGATAAGATGAACACAAGAGAGAACACAAGCAATCATAAATATACATCTTTCCCCCAATTCCTCAGGCAAACCTTTAGTGACACACACACACAAGAGAGACACACAAAGACCAAGCATTCAGGTAGATATAAAGGCAGAAACAACATGTTACTACATAACTAATATATATCCAGCAAGCAAAGAGCTGTAGGATTATTTCTTAAGTCTGCAATTAATGTTAATGACTTGAAGACAAAGCCCTCTTAGGCTAGCTGGTGTGAGACGAATCAAACTTTCATAAGGGTTAGTGGGTGTTGAAGGCTAAGGTACCAAGGAGGTATATGGGTAACAGAGAGGGGACTGAACATAACTGTTTAATCTATTAGTCCCATGTCCACAGGGGATTCAATTTGAGCCTCCCACAGGGGGATAGCCCCTTTATCTGCAGGGCAGCATCAGGGCAAACAGGGGTTAAACTATACTGTAGGCTATACTATCCCCTTATGTGCCAAGTTTCAAATTGTCACCTCCTTCTTTATCTGTTAAAGCCATTTCTTTTTAAAAGGGAAATGGGTGAATCACATTTCCTTCAAGAAAGTTTTGTACCAAAAGAAAGCTTTTAAAGCACTTAGGTTTGAAGATGGAAGAAAAGGCTGGTGCGGTGCTGCGAGAAGGAAGAGGTATGAGTATAAAAATAAATACAACAATGGAGAAGAGAACAGTGGTGGGAGGAAAAGTGATTCATCAACAAATTCTCAGTTTCTTAGGCCGGTTTCAAACAGAATCAAAAGGATTTGATTTTTAACACTTTGTGTATCAGACACATTGGTTTTTGTAGGTCCCCGAGGACTACCCTTACCTGAGATCAGATTCTCCTTATTTAAACAAGTGAAACCTATTTCAGAATAAAAAATGCACTTTTCATTATTAATTTAGCTTTGGCTTTCACAATTATGAGAAATCACCATCCCACCTGTGTCTTTTTTTTTTAAAGGATACATTGCTGCCTGAGTAAGGTGAGATGTCAGCCATGTCCTGGAGGTCACTGCACTCTGACTTGATCAGGGATAAGGAGAGACTCTCAGCTGTGCTGCCAGGGTGTGCTGGTGAACAAGAGCGATGGTGGTGCCCCAGGTGGTGACCTGATGACATCTTTGTTCTCAAACCGGTCGTTTCCCTGGGCAGGTCCATGGAGTCTGGTGAAGTATGGTCCTTGCCGGGATAAGCTGTGGGTGGGCCAATGGGAGTCTGGAAAGGGTAGCCCATGAGTGGCAGAGGAAAGGGATGTCGAAAGGAGGGGGGGCTGAAGCCCATCGAGGCAGAGAGAGATGATGGATGGAGAGCTGGATGGTGGTTACCACCATGGGCACCCACGGCTGAAGACTGATGGTGGTGCTCACTAGGTGTCTTACGTACTACTAAGGGCAGTGCCTCGGTTTGGTCATGGGTGGTACCTGGAATACCAGACATGCTAGCAAAGGAGTCTAGTGGATTAGGAATGATGACATCACCGAAGCACTGAAGCCTCTGGTTGGCGGTGTGGAAGTTTGGGTTGTCTCCATTGACAGCAGCAGGAAATCTTTCAGGGGGAATAGAAAGTGAAGGGAAGGCCTGCTGAGGAGTAGGACGAGGAGGTTTAGCAAATACCTTTACAACTGTGTCAACCACCTGGGTCATGGCTGAGTTGAGCTCTTGCTTCAGTGTTTCTGCTAGCTGTTTACCTTCAGCATGCATGGAGGAGCCTGGACCTCCCTGTCCTTTGTTTCGGCCAAGCCCATCTCTTCTTGGCTTCTCACTGTCGGCCAATAGGGCCTGCTCTTGAAGCAAAGCCCGTGCCCTGTCAAGGAAATGGCCTGGGTCCAAATCAGCCATCTCATTGTCAGAACGTAAATCATCTCCACCCCGTTCATCTCCACCGGTGTCCGACCTGCCTGGGCTGTCCTCCGACATGTTTCCTATGTCGTTGTGAAGGTCAGTGTGCTCTGAGTCATCAGTGGAGTCATAGATCTGAAAGAACTTCTCCTGGAGTTGCCGTAGTTGCTTTTGCATGTCCTCCAGCTGCAGCTTGAGTTGCCGTCGCTCCTCCTGTTTCTGTTCTTTTCTCTGACACACCAACTGAGTGAAGCTTTGCTGTTGCTGCTGAGGCAGCCGTTGTTTGCGCTTGTTCTCTCGGCTGCTGCACATTTCCCCTCCCCGTGGACTGCTTGGGGCTTGTTGTTGGGACTGAGGAGGTGGACAATCCAGTTCCAGATCCCGCTCTCCATCCATCTCATGATCTCGCTCATGACGGGAAGCAGCAGGCACCACCACACTTGGTGAGTGGCTCATTCCACGTATAATGTTCTCTACACGGGCCCGTTTGGCACGGAGGTGCTCATCATTGAGACGTTCAATGTCAAAGGTGGCAAGGCCAGGAGGGCGACCAAATGGTGACAAGCACTCTTGAGGGGTGCTGTCCTGGGAGGAGTTACTGCATGCATCTTCCTGCGGGGCATCAGAGCTAGCATTAGAGAGCCCTGATCCGGGGAAGCCTGAGTCGACCCTATCCCCCCTATCTCCTCTATCTCCTCTCTCAGGCCCTCCTCCATTTTTTGCAATGTTATTCTTGAGAAGCTGAGAGATAATGGTGGTGCCAGGGAAGGGCATCATGGCATCCTCATATGAGTTGGCCCTCTTCAGTAGCTTTCGAAGAACATTTGATTTGGACTCACTATCGCTGGCTGACACAACGCCAGGCCCACCATGTGGCTGCACTACAGAGCACTCCATGGAGTCGTTGTCTGATCCGTGGTGAGAATGGGAGCTCAGAGAGTTCATGGCACTAAAAATTGCTGCTTTGGCGCGAGCGATGTTATCGGTAGTTACTGCTGATGTGGAAGAGGCTGTGCTACCCACTGTCCTCTTGACACCAATGTCCACTCGTCTTCGCTTGGTCTGTCTGTTCAGGAGGGAGTCGCTGTCATGGTCCGGCATCACGGGCTGCTGCTATTGGGCCATATCCCACAAACCCAGTCCTCTAGGGTCAAAGCCTCTGAGTATCTAAACAGGGGAATAAAATAAATAAATAAACTTAAATAAATTAACTGAAATCTCTCCCTGGCTTTACTCTCTATATCAGTAACAAAACTAATTTGGCTCCTCACAATCTAAAACATTCAAATCTCGATAAAATATACAAATGCTTTCATAAAATTAAGCAATAATATGTTTACACCTTTAAACATTGATTACATTAATCAGGCAGAGTCAGACTGAGGCTTTGGCTCAACATTCCAGGGCAAAGTCCTACATATTATCCTGTCCCCTGTTACATGCTGTGCGACAATGAACCAGTTCCCACGGAATACAAAGCTGCATAAAATTATGTTAATTACTTAAGAACTTGTCCTCATTTCCATGATTGTGCAGTGTAGCCCACATAGAAGGCAGAAGCTCACAAAATCAAATAGTAAGAAAATACGGTTGAGATTGTTTTTATAAATTGCATTCACAGAGGAGAAACACACCGTACACATGAAGACACCTTAGTACTGATGAAATGAGCTCAATCAGCTTTAAGAAATTATTTTCAATCGTTCCTTGATATTGTGTAAGTTTTAAAAACAAGTCCTGTGTTCACTCTGATCAATATTACCATCATATCTTACTCAATAGGGAGAATGACACAAAAAAGAAACACAAAATAGACCTATTGATTTAGGTGCCAGCGTGAGCTCACTTCTGTGTTTTTTGTTTGTCTTTTCATCTGGCAAGGGCAGTTAATTCTGCTCAAATGAATAGGTCGTGCAGGTCAACTCTGGCAAAGAGCAACTTAAAGCGCTCTTACAAAAACCCTAATGCCCCTCTGAAAGCAAAACGTTTTGTCAGTACAGGTCTGCACGAATAATGCTATGTAAGCAGCGGTGGCAGTCTTAGTCAGAGACCCATCAGATGTTTCTAGACTTAATTTCAAAGAAACAATTCAAGGATATTTAATGTGCATGAAAATGTAAAAGTAAAATCTGAAAGTTAAATTGTGTAAATTTAAACATTTTACTATTATCCCGATAATGTTAAAACGGCAGGAGCTTACATGTATTCTTATCATTTAACAGCTATTAAAACAAAATCCATCTCGTGATTTTTTATTAATTGTTTTCATGGTTTAAGCTTATTTTAAAGGGTTTTCAAAGAAGCACAAAATACTGGGAAAATTAAAGAGACAGTGTTACACTGTCTTCATTGTTCACTTTTTAAGTTTCAAAATCTATTTTAAAACAATTTAAGTTTTAAAAATGGATTTTCTTGAAGAAACAGTGATTTTTGCACAATAGTTTTCGTAATACCTTGACTTTAAGCAATTTTTAAAAGACACATTGGAATTGCATTTAACTGATTCACACCCCATAACCCAGTCACTGCTGTTTGCTTTAATGTTTTCTGTAACAAGTAGGCATTAATACCCTTAATTTCTTAAAGAGAATCCGCACTCAGAGTATCATTTGCTGAAAAATGACTCATTTTACAAGTATTTTAAATAAAATCATTTGACAAATGGGTAGGGATTATGTTCTGTAAGCCATTTAAAGCAGCCTTTAGGAGAAGCAATACATCTAGGCTTTAAACCTGACTGGACTGCCTCGGGATCTTAACAAAGAGCTTGAAAGAGTCACCAGCACCTGTCTTTTTTCTTGTGTTGGAGCACCTGTCCTACATTGCCTCTCTCTTTTGATTTCTATCTCGCTGGCATAGAGAGTAAATATGGACTTTGATTGGATATGTTAGAAAACCTTTTCTTCCCTAACAATTTTATGTCTCCACAAAAAAAAAAAAAAAAAAAAAAAAGTAAGTGAACAAATACACTTCCAAGTTGAAAAAACAAACAGAGAACCTGGTTATTTGAGTTAAATCGAAATGGCAATAACACTGGTTCTATATAACAAGGAACAATTTTGCTCTTTGAAAGTCAAGATAGTTGCGCACAGTTTCTCCAAATCTGTTTCTCATCATATTTAACGTCATAGAAGATAGAAAACAAATCTAAGTAATAGAAAAAGACGCCGCATGGCCTGCGCAAAGAGTCCTAAACAAATATTGAAGATAATGAAGCTGCAGCAAAAGATATACCCAACTGAACAAAGAGATTATTTTAACAGGCAAGAAGTCTGGATCCGAGTCTTTGTCACTAGTTGTTTAAAAAAAAAATCAAATTAAAAAGAAATAGACAAAAAAAAAAAAAAAAAAAAAAAAGCTTCTAAAACTTACTTTGCAGAGTTGCAAATCAACTTAATCTCTGCTTTGATGAGGAAGGCTGGGCTACCGTTCGCAAATCATCCTCGCCAAAAAACACTGACTGCTCACGCAACCCTCATGCACACAGATCTAACCTTTATTATCGCACCTATGCGCTCCGCTGGCGATCGGCGGAATAAACGATGCTTAATGGCTTTCATATGTGAGCAAGTAAAGGAAGAGAGCTGTTACTCACCAGTCCAGATGAAGATTTTTTGGGGATACAACCTGAACTCTTGCGGTGGTGAAGGGGAGAAAAGCGCCACGGACTGTTTTGTGGAAAGGATGGAACAGTATTTGAGGGAAGGAAGAGCAGGAATAAAGTAAAACAAGCGAACTAAAAGATACAAAAGAATCAAAAGAAAACAGGAAAACGGGCTCTTGCGCGTCCGTCTCTCCTTCTATCCTCTGCTGTGATCGAAAGAGTGAGAGACCTTGAGAGAATAGAAGAGAGAGAGAGAAGGGGAGATGGAGAGAGAGGGAGAGAAGCGGTGCGTGTGTGCGTCTCTGAGGCGCGCTGGATGCAGAGCGGAGGACTGGATGCTGCTGGAGCGCTCCTCCGCCACTAAGATTCACTTTAAGACGCGGCTGAAGGAAACAGGAAGACGTACGCGTCACGAGCGCCGTGATGTAACTGTTGCAGTCTACCAATAAGAAGCGTCCGCGAGGGCCGGGGGAACATCATGCTGAACTTGACCAGAGGAACGGGACTTGATCGCGCACCACAGTGAGGGAGAGGGAGGAATAAAAAAAAGGAAATACAACTTATGGTTTGTCTGTTTCTTCATAAATAGGAGTAAGAGTCGATACGCGCTAAAACTATGTAGCTTACACACAGAAGTTTGGGTCATTTTTATTCTGCAAATCATCTTTTTTTGTAAAGATTTTAGAAAATGTCTATATTCAGCTTAATTCTCACTATTTGGTTTTCAATACATTGATTAAAAAAACCATACCTATAATATAGCATTGGGTAAAAACACTTTAAACAAATACCTTTCCCTTTTTCCCCCAAATACTAATATTAATTAAATATTGTTCTTACATTTCCGTTTCTATTGAATTTTTGTTATTTTTATGCACCAGAATGCCGAAATTACGCAAACCTTATTTTTTCAAAGTCTCTCTTTTTACGCTGGTATTTCTAACAAGTTTTATCATAAGGAATTAATTTACATGCAAATCTGGCTGATGCGCGTTAGGATGGCATGCAAAGATATTTTATGCGCTGAGTTTTCCTATTGGTTGCAAGAAAAAAAGAAAGGAGAGCATTGATTAAAGAAGAAGCAGGTTAGGTGAGCAGATTGACATATTTTGGCTTTGGAATTTGGATGATCCCAGAAAACCGACATAAAAGGAGAACCAAACTTCTTTTTGCAAAACAAATACATACATAAATACAAATATAATATTAGTTAAAATAAAGATGCTCTGCTCGTTTTTGTTCTGCCCAGGATTAACACACCCGCGCACCAAGATGTCCCTCTGCGCAGAGTTTCAAAAGTGTTTTAATAGTTAACCCCCCAAAAATATACTGTTTGCCAAATATGTTTAATAAAATCTGGATATTTCTGATCTTTCCACCTGTAACTCTCGAACCCAGCTGACAGGGACATTTGATCCGCGGTAGAAAAAAAAAATATGACGCTTCAGATTTATGACATGATGACGGCTGCTGTCCTTTGGTCTTCATGTTTTTTAAATTCGATGCCCACATTTACAGTGCGCCCTGTGCGCTCCGGAAAAGGAGCATGGCGTTGACAACAGGTGATTTTTTTTAACAAACTGTTGCTCGGTTTTTGCTGATTTAATGTGCAAACGATTTTATTTGACAAGATAATCAATTTCGGGGTGATTACAACCGTTACATTTTAAGTTAATTTAAGAAATCTAAATTTCTACATTTAGGAAACGAATAAGCAAAGTATAACATTACTATTATTATTATTTTTTACTATTATTAAAACTATACAGTCGCAATGATAAAGAATTGAACGTGGTTCGCTTCTCTTTGCTTTTAATTTGCAGATATTCTCTCTATTTTTTTATTCTCTGCACAAACAGGATCCTGAAACACTTAACGAGGAATCTTATTTTCCATAAACCCGTCTGTCAGGTGCCAAAAAGGAAAAGGCGAGTCTCTTTTCCATGTCGCAAGCATGTGTTTTTTTCTTTCTTTTTTAGGACGAACAAAATGCAACAAAGTCAGCAAAAGTTTAGTGTCTGGAGTGGCTTTTCCAAAGCAGGTGTCCCGGCCCCCTTGCTCCCCTAAACAGGTCTGTGGCTAGATTTGGCCCTTTGGCTCCCCTGGGCGCCGTCGATACGCACACAGCCTGGAAAAACAGGGCCGGGACATTAAAGAAACGCTTGTTTGCAAAAGGAAAGACTCGGGCGAGGTGAAGAGGAAACGTGATGGTTTAACACTGGCTGGCAGCTCTTATCGCGGCCCGTTCCAGGTGGATCAAACCCGCGCGTTTAATCCAAGCTCACCCCCATGTTTCTGGATTGAGCGCAACACAGCTCGATGACTGAAACTGATAATGCGCAGCGGCATTGCGCGCTGATGGGTAAATTAACAGCAATATTTATTAGAGCAGCGTCGACACAAAGGGGGAAGGCCGTGAACACAGTATTTTCCCCAGAGGTGCTATAAACTTAATGTAAATCAGATTTGGAGTGGGAATAAACACGCCTGTGGTACAGAAGAATATGCATTTATATAAAGTAATCTAGATTATTGATATCAAATGCTTCTTTATTATTATTATTATTATTATTATTATTATTATTATTATTATTATTATTATTATTATTATTATTATTATTATTATTATTATTATTATTATTATTATTATTATGGTATTTTTCCCAAGGCTTTACCCGAAGATTAATAACAAAAGAGTAAATAAAAAAAAAAAAAAAAAAAGAAATTCCATTCATTAATCAATGTTTTACTTTTTAGAATACTGGTGTCTGATTAGCAGCATATAAATGCTAAATTAAAGGTCCTTTTGTGAATAATTTAAGGAGTCTGGACTACCTTTTTCATTTCTTCTATCTATCTATCTATCTATCTATCTATCTATCTATCTATCTATCTATCTATCTATCTATCTATCTATCTATCTATCTATCTATCTATCTATCTATCTATCTATCTATCTATCTATCTATCTATCTATCTATCTATCTATCTATCTATCTATCTATCTATCTATCTATCCATCCATCCATCCATCCATCCATCCATCCATCCATCCATCCATCCATCCATCCATCCATCCATCCATCCATCCATCCATCCATCCATCCATCCATCCATTGAGTTTGAACCACTCACTATTATTATTATTATTATTGGCAGCCTCAGAACAGTTTCCCAAACTGTAAGCAAACTCAGTGAACATTATTTGGAAGAGGAAGCAATCTCTCAGAAAAATGACCTTAATCAGATAATGACTTGATGAGCTCCTATACAACAGCTCCATTTCTTTTCAGAGAGACAGTTTTCGGAGAAATAACAGTGAGATAAAACACGCAGAGTGAAACACACACAAACATAGACGCACACACAGTGATGGTTGTGCTAAAAGCTGTTTTGTTCCGGAGAGGTCTCCGGGTCCCTGAATAAAAAGGTTTAGGAGACAGGACAGAGAGGAGGAGGAGGAGAGGATTTGAGTGTAATAAGTGAGTAGGAGTCTGAAGTCCTTGTTGGACCTAGTGTCCGGGACTTAATGTATTCGGCTTTCGTTATCCATAACAACTATAAGGATGCTGGAGAAGAGATTTGACTACTTGTTCTTATTGAAATGGGCCTGCATGATCAGAACATAAATTAAAAACCAACAATTTCATCTTGATGCTGTAGTGAAATAACACCAATTTACATATATGTTATTTTCACCTTCAAAGAAGTAACTGGCGGATTGTGGACCCCTACGACCCACATCTCTCTTTTTATAGTCTGCAAGTCGTGGTGATTTTGGATGCTTGTTTGTGTATCTGTGTTGTTGTGACAAAAAGAAAGAAGGGAGGGGGGGGGTTCATTTTTTATGCCCTCTTTTATGGCCATCCTCTGAATGAACACACACTACACATTCAAATATGCTTTATTTGCATGAATGCCATTCGCCATCGCTACAGACTATAATAGATGGCCTAAAGAAAACCTCACAGTGAAATATGAGAGCACGTGCACCAAAAAAAAAAAAAAAACATGAGCAAGTCTGATTCTTTACAGACACTTGTACCATCTTTTCAAGGGGATAAAAACCTGCCAACACCTTGACGATAAAGAACCCTACAATTTCAATATTTAGATTAAAACAGAAAATGTTGAAAACATTTAATCAATCCAGTATGAAAGGAAGTACTGGATAGTCAGAGCCACAGTGTGCAGTGTGGATGATAACAACAGAGCAATGTAGGTAAAAGTAAACAATAATGGTTGCTGCCAGCACTCTGCACTGACAAAATGAACTATAAGAGTGGAATCCCCCCCAAAAATAATCCCTATGGTTTATCTGGGTAAAAAGTAATCAGCAATCCTAAAAAGATGTAAGTTGAGGTTAAAATAATAAAAAAAAAAGAATAAAGTCAATTCAGTTTTGTTTCAGCCAAAATCTGATATGACCTAATCAGAACCCATGTCATCCCAAGCTACTTTAGAGCAATGATTCAATTAAACCACACAGATTGGTTGTTTTTTCATCTAAAGAAAACCTTAAATTTGAATTCAGTCACTGACCAGCAGAGTCCTTTACTTCTAGATAAACATAAAACAACAGCTGACAGCTGCTTGCATTGTGTTGTCAACTTCACAGCAATCTCTCACACTGAGCATGCATATGGTGACAGTGGAGAGGAAAAACTCCCTTTTAATAGGAAGAAGCCTCCAGCAGATCTAGGCTCAATGTGAGCTTTTTGCCCTGCCTCAGTATATAAATGTTGCAGGTTTTTCAAATGTGGATTTTTCTGAATACATAATAAAACATATGATGTAGAGATACTACATGTGTGTATCTCTGTGTTTGTTCGCAAAGATAGTGAGACATTTTTTTGTTGGTGTCTAACTAATAGTTAGCATTACCAAATTAGAAAAAGCACAAATTACTGCCTTTCAAGTTTACAAAATTTTACTGTATTCTTGACATTAGCATTGGTTTTTTAGCCAAACTAGCTAGAGCTCGGCATTAAATGAAAATCTTACTCCAACACAAAAAAAATTCAAATCATAAGTCTAATTACATTCCTTAACTCTCACAAGGATCATTTCACATTGTTTTTAAAATATATTATTAATTATTATTAAAAAAATCAAATAACAATATAAATACAACATAATATTTTACAACTTTATAATTTTTTATTTTGCTCTGCCCAATGGTATCCATTGACATACCGGAAATCAATATGTAACATAGATTAACTTAAGTTTTATCGTTAGAAATGCTTCATATTTGAATGGGGTTACACTTTAGAAAAAGGGGTGAGACACAGCTACTATAACGTTTCATAAAATAAAAATTACGGCTACGCAGTTGGCTCCTGCCCAGGGGCTAATGTCTTCTAAATCAGACCTTATATGCATGCCTTACAAACAGTTAGGATGGTGGTTAAATCTCTGCTATGACAGAAGTTACACCAAAGTCAACTGGAACGTAGGAAACACACA